CACACACACACACACACCCTCTCACACACACACACCCTCCCTCTCACACACACGCTCCTCACCCTCCAGCACCTGGTCGTACACACGCTCCTCACACGTGATCACCAGGTCAAACTGCTCTTTGCAGCTCTGGAAGCGCTCGGGCCGCGTCTTAATGCGCTTGTTGCGGTCTAACATGTGCAAGATCCCGTTCTGTGTGTATCTGAGAAGCAGAGCGGTCAAGGAACACAAAACACAGACCAAACACATCAAACTGTGTGTCTACAAAGGGTTAAAACACTGGAAACACGTACACTAGCGCCATCTATTGGTCAGCCTCTGGAAGTCACTTCTGATGGCCCAACACATTACTAAACTATACTCACTAGGATCAACTGAACTAATTCAGCGAATTACACACTGCAGAGTCTGGGCAATATGTAAACATTCATCATCAGCAGTATAAATAAACCAGCGAACATCTAACTAACAAAAAACAGTTTAAAACTGCTGTAAAGCCTCCTGTAAATCAGACGCGGTACGATTGTTTATGAGGCACGTTATCCATCAAAAGCTTCAGATTTGAACACGAGTGTTGATTTTTCAGTGCCTTCCTGTCAGATCACTGCAAATACACAGTTTTATGCTTCTTTTTGCAAGTATGGTTTATTAAATTTAACAAAGTTAACATGAAAATCTGTATTTTTTCACGTTCTATCATTCACCAGGTGAATGACTAAAAGCAAAAGGTTTTTGTCTCGTTAAAAATATCTAAACAAATCTGGACTGGATCTCTCTCATCATGCTGTATTATCACCGGATCTTCAATCTTTCTGTCAGCTTGTTTTCTTTCAATCAGCACAGGTTTTGTGTTTCTTTTTGGAGCGGACTGATCGTAGGCCTCACTGATCTGAGCTCAAACCTCGGTTTCTGTCTGAATATCCACAAAATTATCCACAAATAATGCTTTTCACTCAAGGCCTATGATTAATCAGCTCCAATAAACCCCATACAACTCGTGCCAACTAATCTGAATGAATGAAAGATTTGGTGATGATACAGCATAATTACGTACGCCGATCATTTGTGAAGGATAGCACAAGAGTAACAAAGTGGGTAAGAAATCCCCAAGAAAGTGCGACAACTCTTTTGTAAGGTTTTTATACCCCGAGTGAGCAAAGTCAGTCAGTTCTAGTGCGACGTGAGAACATGACCTAGCATTCTCAGGAAAAAGATATGACTCTCCTGGTCAAAATAAGCCAATACGACTAAACACACACCTGTACAGAACGAGCCCGGTCTCATGAAAGTGCGTATAAATAGTACGCCAAATAAAAACACAAACTTGTGGTATTGATATACGCAAAAATGGACTTTGGCGTGCATATAATACGCAGTTTTCGCGTACATATGATACGCATCTACCCCACAACCCTAAGTAGCATATGCACGCCAAAGTCCATTTTTGCGTACATCAATACCACAAGTTTTTGTTTGGCGTACTATTTATACGCATTTTCATGAGATCGGGTTGACAAAACACAATCTGTGAGGTTAAATGCTCAAGAAATGTTGCTTGCTAAAATAAAATAAACTATCTGAGGACAGGATTTTTGCGTTCTAATCACAACGAGACGCGTGATCCGAGGAATCATTCATGTCCGGAGCACAAGCGCTAATGCTAACAAATTCAATCACCATTACCCTAAATGAGCACTAGCACTAGTGATGCTCGAGTTAAACCCGTTACCACATATAAACCACAAGGGTCCTTACTTATTCTGCATCTGATCCTCTGGAGAACTGATTAACTGAACCTCTTCTGACACACTAAAGCTAAACCCTTCCTGCCATAGATTCTACAGGTGCCATCGAAACCTACATCTACTTTATACGAATGCTTATGGTTTGATCTGGTCGAACATGAATTGGTTAAATGCTGTGGCTAATGGGAATCCCGCAGGTCTGATGAATGAGTCGTGTGTGACGCATTAGAGGAATCAATCTGTGACCTGCTTTCCTGTGAACTCAATGAATCAGAGTCTGGACAACCGCATCCAAACGGGCATAATACACCTCAGCACACACTGCCCATGCTTGTCTTCTTTGTCCTTTTTCTTCTTGCACAATAAATGCAGCAGATCTTAGAGTGTCATCAGGTGACTTATAAATCTGTCGTTATTTACTCGTTCCAAACCTGACTTTCTTTCGCCGGTGAAACACAACAGCAGATATTCTGAAGATCACCGGGAGGTGTTCCACGGGAGAACGAACACAGGTTTGGAACGACACGAGGGGAGTAGATAATGGCAGAACCATCATATTTGGGTGAACTAACCCTTTAATGTGAGGAACACACTCCATAGAGTTCAGAAGAAAAAAGACGGGTCGCTGCAGTTGCTTATCTTCAGTAGGGTTGCAAAGGGGTGGAAAATTCATTTACTTTCCGAAAATCCCTGGAATATTCCAAAAAAATCCTGGAAAGTTTCCAAAATTTCCCACCGTTTTGCAACCATAATCGTCACTAAAACAGCGAGGCTCCTGTTGAGCCCCCTGCGATTTAAACCATGCGTTAACCTTGCGGTTCCTACGATAACCACACTTAAAAATAAAGGTTTCAAAAATGGTTTGGCCGTAAAACAACCATTTTGGGTTCCTCAAAGAACCTTCCGATGAAGCGTTCTGAAAGCAACCAATTACCATTCTTTTAAAAACCTAAAGAACCTTTCGTACAAAAGAGTCTCTGTGGATGTTCACGATTCTTCACGGAACCGTCGATGCCAATAAAGAACCGTCATTTCTCAGAGAGCTTCTGCGTTTGCTCAGTGTTCGTCGCGGCTCTCGTTTGACTCTGGGGCTCTAGCCGGTGTATTTCTGTGTGTTAGCTAGGGATACAGCTCCTTGTCTTTACGGACCAGGTCGTTGTACATCTGCTCGTAAGTGGTTTTGAAGTCGTAAATGTTGGGTTTGTCCGGAGCGGGTCCTGGGAGCTTCACGTGGGTTCCCGTGCCGAAGGAACGCACGTCGAACCCTCGCTTGCTGTGGGAGCAACACAGAGACGGTGAGAATCCACAAGACATCAGAACGGCAAACACATGAGGACAGGACAGACGTGAAGAGAAATCCCTCTCGACCTGCGGCGACTTACCTGACCTAGATTACTTAGTCGGTAACGAACGGATGAAAACGAGGCTGTGAGGGACAAACGCACCGTTTAAAATGATCGCACGTGTACAAACATCTTCCAGACGTCTCTGAGACATCAGTTTTACATCATAAACATCTATTTGACGTCGTATAGCAGATGAGCAAACATCTTCCAGACGTCTCTGAGATGCGCGTGTCGTCAGGGCTGTGATTGCGTAATCATCATCTCACGGCTTTTAACAACACGTTTCTTCAGTCCAGTCCACTGAACACAGGTACTTCAGTCCCGCACAGCCTCGGTTTCATCCCGGTCAAACACTAAATATGGCGCTTCCCTGACTAACGTCTACATTTTGATACTATATCACTTCTACTCATTTTATCTGGCTTCCAAAGAGGTCCCATAATGTTGGTATGTACTAGTATTATATGAGGTACCATGTGAATACCATAGTAAACTAATATGCTGGGTTTGTCAATTCCAATTGAATTTAAATTCAGGAATCGGGATTCTCAGCTTTGATTGGGATTGGGAGTCTTCGTTCTTGAGTAAATACATGCCACTTTATAAAAAAATAAATAATGCGGGACACCGAAACACTATTATGATGCAGAAAATAATATGATGTCTCTGATATCTGTAGTTTGTCTGTCCATATAGAGCGAGAGGTCTGTCTGTCAGATTATACACGACAGAACTGAGTTCATAAACGCTCTGAGCTTCCTGCGGCCCACTGCGAGGACGATGGGCGACAGCGCGATGAAGGCGATGCGAGCGATGCGAGTGACGAGGAATGCCGTGGAAGATCAGCGGTTGTAGTTGAAGTAGTTGACAGAGGTGACACTGGCGCCGCAAGACAAAATAAAGAGGATATTCAGAGCCAGGATCACCTGAGAAACACAGAGATGTTCTACTATCACTCGTCCTTTTATTCTCTGATACTAGCTGTGTGCCGATTCAAAGGCTGCATCCTTCGAAGATCATTAGTTCATCATCACAGTATAATTAAGGTTTGGGTCTGGCACTGTACTGCTTAGTAGCTCTTGTTGGTCCCTATCAACCGGTTGGATTTGTACACTAGATTTGAGAGAAATCCAAACTCCAAACTCCTCTCGGAGGAGGCTGCAGAACAGCCAGCGACTCGCACTGCAGCGTGTACAGCCTCAGAATACAACAACTGATCTCTATCAGGTCCTCTTTATGCAAGCTAGTTCTGAAATGCGTCACACCACAGTTCATACAGCAACACAAGAAATGTTGGTCTCTCAGCGTGGCTGCAAGAACTGCGACAGTGAATGCTAGATTAGCTACTGGAATATAAGAGCAACAATTTAACATGCATTACTGTTTCAGTAGATACATTTGAAGAAAATCATTGGCCCTTTGAGTTCTGAGGTTTGTCACCGCCGCAGTAATGCAGTAATGTAATCTGCAGGCCCAGGTATACTTTTTCACCTAAAATGCAGCACACGCATGTGAAAATGCACCAGTCTAACTGGCACGCAAGTTTGCGATGCATTAGCAAAGAATTTGTATACTTCCGTGAAAAATGCTTTTCTGGTCTAAAATTCAAAAAAAAAAAATGTGTCAGTCTAACTGTGGCACACAAGCTCACAATGCATAAGCCAAGAATGTGCATACTTGCATAAAAACACATTTCTGGCGTAGAACGCAGGATATGCATGTAAAAAATGCATCAGTCTAACCGTAGCACACAAGCTTGTGATGCATTAGCAAGGAATTGGCATACTTGTGTAAAAAGTACATTATTGGCGTAAAATGCAGGTTGTGTGTAAATAAAATGCTTCAGTTAAGAATCTGCAATAAACTGAACATTTCTGTGTGTGTGTGTGTGTGAGTGTGTCTGTGCGTGTGTGTGTAAAAGAGAGTGTGTGTGTCTGTGTGAGAGAGAGAGAGTGTGTGTGTGTGTGTGTGTGAGTGAGAGAGAGTGTGTGTGTGTGTGTGTGTGTGTGTGAGTGAGTGTGTGAGTGTGTGTGTGTGTGTGTGTGTGTGTGTG